CACACATATTGTTAAACAGTTATCAATTTCAATCCATTTTCCTCATTTAACAAATCACCAAAAAATGTATACGTAAAATTGCAAACACATCACATTTGCACTTATTCTTCCAAAAATACACACATATTGTTAAACAGTTATCAATTTCAATCCATTTTCCTCATTTAACAAATCACCAAAAAATGTATACGTAAAATTGCAAACACATCACATTTGCACTTATTCTTCCAAAAATACACACATATTGTTAAACAGTTATCAATTTCAATCCATTTTCCTCATTTAACAAATCACCAAAAAATGTATACGTAAAATTGCAAACACATCACATTTGCACTTATTCTTCCAAAAATACACACATATTGTTAAACAGTTATCAATTTCAATCCATTTTCCTCATTTAACAAATCACCAAAAAATGTATACGTAAAATTGCAAACACATCACATTTGCACTTATTCTTCCAAAAATACACACATATTGTTAAACAGGCGGAATGGGAAATTTTTTTTTTTAATTTCCATCACAAATAAATATTTAAATAATATTTTTTTTTTCACGACGACAACAAAATTTATTTTTTGTTAAAATAATATTTTTTTTATAGTTAATGAATTTATTTATTTATTTTTCATTTTCTTTTAGTTATGAAGGTTGAAAATTTATTTGTTTCATTTTATTTTAATGAATAAAAAATTATTATTATTATTTTTATTTGGTAGAAGTAGGGATAATATTTTAATGAAAAATATTTTCCATTAAAATAAAGTTAATTTTTTGTGGTCAATGAAAAATATTTTTTTTGCGGCCCATTTTTTTTACTAAAAGTCAAGAACTAATTTTTTGTGGTAGAGGATAGGGAGTGGCAGTAGTAGTAAAGGTGGTAGATAAGAGGTGATAGTGGTGGTGGTAGTGGTGGCGAAGGAGATTAGTGGTGAAGTTGTGGTAGTGGTAGAGGAGATAGAGTAGCGGTGGTGATGGAGAGGTAATGGTAGTAGTAGTGGTGGTAGTGGAGTAGTAGCGATGGTGGTAGTAATGATAGTCGTAGAGGTGGAGTGGCAACAGTGGTAGTAGTGGAATGGCATTTGCAGTAGTGGTGAAGGTGGTAGAGGAGATGGGTGGTGAGGGACAGATAGAGAAGAGAGAGAGAGAGAGAGAGAGAGAAAGACAGAGTGATGAGCGAGAGAGAGACAAAGTGGTCGCTAAAAGTGCATTTTCTTGTAGTGGAGAGCTCAGTCAATAGAGAAGATAAGAGGGAGAGAGTGAGCAAGGTGAACACAATGGAGGAGAGAGATAGACAGATAGGCAGACACATAGAGAGAAAGAGAGAGAGAGAAAAGTGATGAGTGAGAGAGAGACAGAGAAAGAAAGAGATATATAGAGAGAGAGACAGATACAGAGAGAGAAATAGATAGAGAGAGACAGATAGACAGAAAAAGAGAGAGAAACAAGAGATGAGCGAGAGATAGACAAAGAGAGAGAGAGAAAGAGAGCGAAAAGTGATGATCGAGAGAAAGACATAGAAAAATAGAGAGACGGAGAGAGAAGAAAGATGAGCGAGAGAGACAGAGAGAGAGATAGAGAGAAGAGAGATGAGAGATGAGCGAGAGACAATGAGAGAAAGAGAGATAGAGACAAAGACTGACAGACAGAGAAGAGTGATGAGTGAGAGAGAGAAGAGAGAGAGATAAAGAGTAAGAGACAGAAAAAGAGACAAAGAGAGAAGAGAGATGAATGAGAGAGACATAGAGAATAGAGATGAGCGAGAGAGACATAGAGAGAAGAGAGATGAGAGAGATAGAAAGAAGAGAGATGAGCGAGAGAGATAGAGAGAAGAGAGATGAGCGAAAGAGACAGAGAGAGAAAAGAGATGAGAAAAGAGATAAATGAGTGAGAGACACAAAGAGAGAAAGAGAGACAGACAAACAGAGAGAGAAGAGTGATGAATGAGAGAGAGAAAGAGAAGAGAGAGAGGAAGATGAAAAAATGGGTGAAAAGAGATAGACAGAAAAAGAGAGAGAAAAAGAGCGAAAAGAGATAAACGAGAGAGAGACATAGAGAGATGAGCGAGAGAGCGAGAGAAATAAAGAGAAGAGAGACAGAGAGAGAAGAGAGATGGACGAGAAAGACAGAGAGACAGAGACAGACAAACAGACAGAGAAGAGTGATGAGTGAGAGAGAGAAAGAGAAGAGAGACAGAGACAAAGACACAAAGAGAAAGAGAGAGACAGACAGACAGAGAAGAGTGATGAGTGAGAGAGAGAAAAAGAAGAGAGACAGAAACAGAGATAGAGCGACAGAAGATGAAAAAATGGGTGAAAAGAGAAATATTATATCAAAAGAGTATGACGACGTCGTTTTTTTTTTGTGACAAAAAAATACCGTTGCATTTATTTAAACCATTTTGTGACTATATATATATGAAGGCGTCTCAAAGCCACAATATATATATATAGAATTTTTATATTATTATGCAATTATTGGTTTCTTTTTCAATTATTCTTCACTTAATTCAAATAATTTAAATTTTTTTTTTTTTTGCGACAGCAATCTTTGCCATTGCAAATACTCTATTTTTTTGCGACAACAAGTTGTTCCGTCGCAAAAAGTCATATTTTTCGCGATGGCAAGTTGTGCCGTCGCAAAAAGTCATATTTTTCTCGACGGCAAGTTGTGCCGTCTCAAAAAGTCACTTTTTGCAACGGCAAATATGCCGTCGCAAAAAGTTCCGTCTCTTATGCCTACTTTTCTTGTAGTGAACTACTGAGTGCGTTCATTATGTTTCTTAAGTTATAAGATATGGCTTTTTGCATAGATAAACTAAGAAAAATGATCCATGTAGCAAACTTCGAGTGATTTGGATTAAAGCTTGTTAACAGTGATCCAATTTGGAGGAATCCAATTGTTAACAGTGTGCTTTAATTTGGTATTCTTATCCGGTGATTTCCCTGGTATTCTCATCCAGTGCTTTAATAGTGTGCTTTAACTTTTTGGATTCATCTGAGTAGATTCTAGAACTCTAATTTTTTTTAAAAAATTATAACAAAACAAAATCCACTAAAAACCCACAATCCCAAACGACCCCTTAGTCATTTTTTTTTTTAAATTCACTTTGTTCTAACAGAGGCCTTTCCAATTCTCGAACAGTGAAAACGTGTTTAATTGGGCCAGTGGGCCTAATAGTTTGGATGGACTCTTGCTCATTGCTCTTTAACCATCTTTAGGAAAATGGGCTTTATCAATCTTGCTCAACAATTTGGGCCGCACTCTGCGACATACAATATGAGTAAAAATGGCCAATCACCCTCGACTTCAAACAATGATAATAATAATCACATTTTGTTTTTTTTATTTATTTGATATTTCATGATTGTTTTGGTTGGATAGTCCTACTAGGGGTTCAACAGATATTTTGATCCACTCAAACCAATCGAATTGAACTGATCTGTCGCATTTTGAATGGATGCATGATGACGAGTAAACGGTTGCAGATTGATTTTTTTCAATCTGCTTAGTTTTGGAATGATGACAGATTTGAGATTCCTTTGCCTACAACCGAACCGCTAAACTGCGAGCACCTTAATAATTTGTAAGACTTTGTGTTTTCAATTTATTTAGATATTCTATTGTGTTTTCTATTTTGAAATCTTTTTATCAAATGACAAGTGTTGATATTTGATATTTTTGTATGGAAAATATAAGGTTTAATTTTATCATTTTAAAAAAAATTAAATCAAATACTTTTTGAATAAAAAAAAAGTAATGAAATAATTTTTGATAATGCATGGTTTTGTTATAGTATGTATTTATCATTGATATTTGACAATTTACTTAATAATTTTTTGGTTATGTTGAGTTGAATTGTTATCTCAAAAAAAATGTTAACAAATTATTGTATTATAATCAAAATTTGTAAAAGTTTAAACCATCAAACTAATGCACATCTATCCACCAATCCGCTCAATCCGCATCCGCCAATTCGACGGACGGATGGCAGAATGAAGGTTCTACAGCGGTAACTGAACCACGAACACCCCTCGGTCCTACCACTCAAGTCTGTTAAATAATGCAGTAGTAAATATTACATAATAAACAAATTATAATACATTACAAATATAATCATTATAGTGTTATTGTTTATATTTAAAATGATGAATAGAATTTCCTCGTGTAACAATTAAACTGCCGAAGATCTATGTCTTGGCATGAAAAAATTGCGTACACTTCAAAATTTGGGCTGAGATGTATATTTTGTAATGGAAAAAACAAAAAATAAAAAAGTGAAATAGAGTAATCTTGAACATCAAATTATACGTGCTTCGCTATAAGCCTATTTTGACACGCGGAAAATGACAATAGTGTTCTATTAAAAAAAATAATAATAATTTAAAAATTGACTGTCTCTCTCTCAAAGTTCACTATAAGAAATTGTACTTTTGGCGACTAAATTTTTAGTCGCCAAAAGTCATACTTTTAGTCGTTAAAAGATTTTCCCGACTAAATAATTTGGTCGCCAACTTGGTCGCGGAAAGACGGTCGACGAAAGTATTGGCAACTAAAAAAATTTTAGTCGCCGAAAGTCCTAAACTAGCGACTAAACAAGTAGTCGCCAAAAGTAAAGGTATTGACGACAAAAAAAATTTAGTCACTAAAAGGCTAAATTGGCAACTAATTTTTTAGTCGCCAAAAAATTACAATTAAATTTAACATCACATTTTCAGCTACTAAAATTTTTGTCGCCAAAACTTAATTTTTTTTTTGGCTACTAAATCATTAGTCACCTAAAGTCTTTTTTTTAAATGGCTGCTAAATGTTAAGTTGCCAAAAGGTTTGTTTCCATTTAATTATTTTTTTAGCTGCTAACTATTTAGTCACTAAAAATATTTAACTTCATTTTTGGCTACCAATTGTTTAGTCGTCAAAAATATCATTTTATATTTTTATTTTATTTTAATTAATTTGTCCACAACCTGTATGTATCTCACGCAACCTGTAATAAGTATACAAACAAAACAATACATGCATATTATCACCCATTCCACAACACGTATTTCACTTACAACCATCCAAAAAAGAGAATAACTTTTAATGGCAAATTTTTTACAAACCAAGTATATTCCAACTGAAAATAATAATTTCATACAAAATAAAAAGTAGTACAAAAACCACGTCCTCCATAGAGAAAAAAGGAATATCTACAATTCCATGCCAAAAATCATCTGTAAAAAATAAATAAATTAATCATTAGTATTGACCACATAGCATTGGCATATTTGAAATTATAAAAGAAAATTATATAATGCAAAATCTTTGCGTTACCCTTATGGGACTTCACAAGCAAGACTGTTACTTATATCAAGCAGTCCTCTTTCATGCCAAAAGGAATAATATAGCATCTAAATTTATGCAATCAGGAGGTTCCCTCAAATATAGGATTTCAATTGAACAGAAAACAACTTATAAGTGAAATGACATGGATTAAACAGCCAAACATTAAACATTAACAAACATTAAACAAATATCACAACCCAGAACTCATTCTATCCCCTCAATTCCAGCCAAACATTAAACAAACCCACTAGAAATGCTTTCATTTTTCTTTTTCTAGGAAAAACTCAACAACAATATTAATTAAGTTCTAAAAACATAGCTACAAGAAGCAGTTATATTGTCAAAGATACATGATAAAATAGGTGTAGAAATCTTAAAACCAGAATTAAAGAAAAATAATATGTAGTGTCTTATTTTTATTTGTAAGTCAATCTTCCAATGGAAAATGCAGCCTATAGGACATTTATAATTAGAAAGGATCTCTGCACCTTATCACTTTATTAATTATATCATGCATAAGGCTGTAATATAAGCATACATCTTGATGAGAATATTATGAGCATCAGTGACCTTTCACAATAGTAAAATTGAGACAACCCGTTTTGCCACAAACTAAAGCAAACAAATGTTACCAATAATTAAATATAAATTACACAAATTTTCTGAATCAGACTTAAATTTCCTTTTTCCTGAATTGTAATCCCAGAGTAAAACTTTCTAGTTCCCTAACCCTAGAAGTCAAAGATTTACCATATCTTCTGAACGAAATAATGGGACCATGCTCTAGAATACAAATTCAGAAAACATCAACAGCCCAAAACATCAAACTATATTGAAGAATATATTGTACATGTGAATTCAGAAGATGCAATTTATACATGATATGCTGCTATTGATCCAACATACTGATCATGTTTCCATCATACATTTGTTCATGTTTACACATTACAGTCCCTCTATTGTAATGTTTCATTATTCCATACCAGCAAGTGTTAACACAACGGAGAAAAATAAATTAATCTTTTCAGTAAGTAAATGTAAAAATAAATTGATAAAATGTACAAACGATCCTGACTCCCAATGAACAATTGATTGCAATACATAGAACAAAGTCAATACCTCTTTCTTCTTCAAGTCTACCAAGCATGACTCAAGCAGTCCATGGTAACTTGTATACCCACAGATTAAAACAGAACCCCTTGGGCCTATTCCACGTGCTAGGGCTGCCTAAAATAGGAGGGCCAAAACAACTTAGGCAAATGTCTAAAAAATAGTTAATATAAAAAAGTAAATAAAATGTTGTTGACCATTAATGATTAAACCCATTTGAAACTGTAGGATGTGAACTCAAGCCCAAGTAATTGTTGCTCAGAAAATAAAAGTAGCTTTCTAAATTTCTGAGGGCAGGTCCTTGTTTCAGCTTCTTGGTTACCACAGTCAGCATCATCTCCTACAACCATACAAAAGATCAAATGGGTCATACTAATATAACAGTTCATTGGGCTATCAATAGTTTAACTACTCTACAAATGAAACTCACATACAGAAGAACATTATTATTAAGAAGTGTGTGAGATCCATGCATGAAGAAGCCAGTAGTAGAAAGCCTTTACTTCTAAGACAACACCAACTATACATCAAACAACAAGTTCTATCATATTTTTTTATAGGGAAAAAAAAATTCCATAAAATTGAAAACATAAAATATTGCATTATAAACAAAACCTTAGACATCAATCATCATCACACCACTCACACTTGTAGTATATATAACATTAGCAATAGGGAATTTCTCACCAAAAATGATAAACACCCAAATACTATCTAACATTAGCAATAGTAACATCTCAAATACTGTTTAACATAAGGTCATATCTCTATAACCACTAGACATGATGAAGCTCGTTGTTTTGATCCATATTGTCAATTAATATTGCAATTCCTATCAAAAAAAATTATAAAACTAATAATAGTCCTACCTTGCATCACTAGTTGCTAATGAATTTGACAAATAGACCACAAATATTCTTCTGCATATCAACAACATACATATCTAGAAATTAAATTTCGAAATAGTCAATTTAGGCATCACAATACTGAAAGGACCAAGATAGGAAAAATTCAACCTCTCTCAACATTGGAATCTTACCATGGGCCTCTAATTCCTCTATAAACTATTTAAAAATGTCAAAACTATAAAGGTCCATACATATATGGGACATTTTACTTTATTTTACACTCTTCAATCCAAAAAGAAGTGATGTATAGTTGCTTCACCATGGCAGAAGAATCCCACTAAACTAAAATAATTTATTAAAAAAACATTAAATAGCAAATCATAAATAGGAATGGATCTCATACAACTTTTATTGCTGCATTTCTTTTACTCTATTTAGATAAAAAACAATGCTATAAATTTGCAAAATAGCTGTAAGGACTTGAATACTCTAAGGACAAGATTGGCCATGTTTGAGATAGATGGAGTAGTCTTCATGATTTTGTGTTGTTTAATGTATTTGTAGGTTTTCAAAGTCTTTACACTCAAATGACATGAGTAGAATGAATTTTGCGAAGCTTGCATGGATTTTTTTGAAGAAAGGATTATCCAATCAAATTTAAGAATAAAATCTAGAATTTTCAAATTGGAATTTCTTTGCGCAGCAATCGGTATTTTGAGCATATCTCCTCCTTATTACGATATTGGATGGAGATGATTTAAGCCGCATTGGAAAGCTAACTCAAAGGGCTACAAATCATTATTTCATAATAACTTCTTAATTCAACCATATTTGAGGTTAAAAATGAAGACAAATTCTGCACACAGGATAGATTGCAATCCCCAACTTTGAAAAATCATATTTCATTCATTTCAAGTCCAAACCATGCGAATCTTGTGTCTAAATTGAAACCCTAGATATCCAGTTTCAGATGAAACTAGCCACATATCAGAATTTGAAGTGTAGAGTGAGATATCAATGAAAAATCATATATGACTCAATGTGTTCAACAACTAACCACTAAATTTTACTTCCCAAATCTTCCATATTCAACCATTGTTGGTTGTGTTTATGAGCAAATCCCTGAATATTTGGGAGAAAATACTTTGTACATGTATTTGCTCTATAAACAGAGAGGTTGGGTTGATCAAAAGAGAGGAAAAGTGGAGAAGAGCGATAGAAAATCAAGTGTAGAGAAAATTTTCTTCCAAGTTCTCTTCCAAGAGAGCTATGACAATTTCTACAGTCATGTGTAGCTAATCTTCTCACCCTTAGGGCTTAGATGAAGCCCTACTCAAGAAACATTTGAGGTTTTGTAATTAATTCTTTAGTTGTATTATTTTTGGATATAATTGCAAAACATTTACAGCTTGCTTCCCGTGTTTGATTTATGTGATTTCAAATGCATGGTTGTGCAATAGTTTTATTTGTACATATATTGAGATCCTAAGATAGATCATGCTAAGGGAAGACGGACCGTTCCTACAACAATAGTTTTAGCGTAAGATGGATTCGTACCAATCGAAGAAGGTCTATGCCTAGAGTTTCAGTCTATGAATTTTCTGGACTATCATATTAATACTTGTAGTCATAATATATTATATCATAATTATCCATTAATTAATCTCCCAAGAACAATTACAATTGGCTCATGTTACACAAGCAGTGGTGGATTTGAACACTATAGTTAGTATGGCCTGGGGTATGCCCTTTGCATTTTCATATAGACCTTGCTACTTCTTCTTTCTTTCTTTTTTTTCCTCATATGCTTACCCACCAAACCTAGAGTTTCAGTCTATGAATTTTCTGGACTATCATATTAATACTTGTAGTCATAATATATTATATCATAATTATCCATTAATTAATCTCCCAAGAACAATTACAATTGGCTCATGTTACACAAGCAGTGGTGGATTTGAACACCCTAACGAATTTTCTTCAACCAAACTTCATCATTCTTTTATATTTACTTATCATTTTCATCAAGTTCACATCATCAACCTTCTTTGATCAAGTAAAAATAATTTTCAATTTTAAACACTATAGTTAGCATGGCCTGGGGTATGCCCTTTGCATTTTCATATAGACCTTGCTACTTCTTCTTTCTTTCTTTTTTTTCTTCATATGCTTACCCACCAAAAAAAAAAAGTCCAATTATTACCAACCAACTAAATTTCCTAGAAATGTTATATGAAAGGGGAAAAATATCATCCCGAGGTCCACTTTCTCTTCAATTGGCTCTATGGTAGGGAAGGAAAATAGAGGGAAGGGAAAAAGTCAAAATGGGTTTCAACTATGATTGGCTCTAGCCTCTAGGGTAGTTGGTATTCTTCAAAATCTGCCTCCCTTGATCTTCAAGCGTGATTATAAAACGAATGGGTTTCAACTATGAATCAGAATGGGTTTCAACTATGAATGGGTTTCAACTACATGAGTGTTCTTCAACAAGTTTTAGGAATAAAGTGCCTAAAAAATCACGCTTGTATTGCACTTTATTCCACTACACTAAATCGATTATAAAACTAATTGCCAATAAAAAAAACTACAATACCAGGTTTTCCATCAATTGGAAGAGGACAAAACAAAACTTGCGTTTTTTCTGGGAAAACAAACGAGAGGGTTTGAGTAGGGAGGAGGAATATGAAATACCTTTAAACGTAGTGACGGCACTGGAGCACGATAAGAAGAAAGATGCATTGTTCTGTACTGAAGACAATAAATAGCAAATCATAAATAGGAAAGGATCTCATATAAATTCAATTCCAATTACGAAAAAACAAAGAATTAATATGAACATGTGTATATGCAATTGTGCATACAAATATGTATATACATATGTTATATTTATATAGATAGAGAGAGAGAGAGAGAGAGAGAGAGAGAGAGAGAGAGAGAGAAAGAAATCACCATCCAGACAGAAGATTGTTGATGTCCCAATGCCGTAGATGTAGACCCGCTAACCCAGCGAGGCCAGTACCCAACAAACCCATCTTCATCATCTGCAATTTTGAGGGCTAAGGTAATGAGTGGTAGCTGGGAGAAAAAGAGGTAGCTGGGAACCGCCGATCGAGCTTCCATGGGTGATGGATCTCAGGCGACGGTGACCAACAAGGAGGTGAATCGATGCTCCGGTTGCCGATGAACGCGAGGAGGAGCGACGGTGAGAGATGGAGGGGAGAGGAGCAGCAGAGAGGGAGAAGAAGAGGGATGCTGAAGAGAGAGAGAGAGGGAGAGAGAGAGAGAGAGGCGATGGATTTGTTTGGGGTTTGGTTTGCAAAATATATATGTATACATATGGTACAATTGGCGACCAAAATTGTTTTAGTCGCTAACTAATTTTATAAATCCCTCCCAAATTTAAAATGCCTCCCTCCAAATATTTTAGTTCTTTGGTGACAAAAATTTATTAGTTGCTAAAAATAAATTTTTGGCGACCAAAATTTTGGTTGCCAAAAGATAAAAAGTAAATTTTTATTTTTCATTTGGCGACTAAATGGTTTTCGTAGCCAAAAGTCAATATACGGTGACTAACATATTTTTTGGTCGTTGAAAATATGTTTTTGGCGACCAAAAGTTTGGTTGCCAAAGATAAAAAATTACTTTTTATTTTACATTCGGCAACTAAATGGTTTTAGTAGCTTAAAATCAATATACAGCGACTAAAATAATTTTTTTGTCGCCAATTCTAGTATTTTTAGCGACTAAATTTTTTTTAGTCGCCAATAATCAATATATCTCAACTAAAAAAAATAGTATCTAAATATTATACTTTTGGCGACTAAAAAATTTTTTTGTCGCTAATTCCACAACTTTTGGCGATCCAGTCTACTACTACCCAAATGGCATCGCTACCCCATTGATGGGTGATGGATCTCAGGCGACGGTGACCAACAAGGAGGTGAATCGATGCTCCGGTTGCCGATGAACGCGAGGAGGAGCGACGGTGAGAGATGGAGGGGAGAGGAGCAGCAGAGAGGGAGAAGAAGAGGGATGCTGAAGAGAGAGAGAGAGGGAGAGAGAGAGAGAGAGGCGATGGATTTGTTTGGGGTTTGGTTTGCAAAATATATATGTATACATATGGTACAATTGGCGACCAAAATTGTTTTAGTCGCTAACTAATTTTATAAATCCCTCCCAAATTTAAAATGCCTCCCTCCAAATATTTTAGTTCTTTGGTGACAAAAATTTATTAGTTGCTAAAAATAAATTTTTGGCGACCAAAATTTTGGTTGCCAAAAGATAAAAAGTAAATTTTTATTTTTCATTTGGCGACTAAATGGTTTTCGTAGCCAAAAGTCAATATACGGTGACTAACATATTTTTTGGTCGTTGAAAATATGTTTTTGGCGACCAAAAGTTTGGTTGCCAAAGATAAAAAATTACTTTTTATTTTACATTCGGCAACTAAATGGTTTTAGTAGCTTTAAATCAATATACGGCGACTAAAATAATTTTTTTGTCGCCAATTCTAGTATTTTTAGCGACTAAATTTTTTTTAGTCGCCAATAATCAATATATCTCAACTAAAAAAAATAGTATCTAAATATTATACTTTTGGCGACTAAAAAATTTTTTTGTCGCTAATTCCACAACTTTTGGCGATCCAGTCTACTACTACCCAAATGGCATCGCTACCCCATTGAGTCCTCGGAAGACCCACAACAAAATCCATCGTGACATACTCTCATTTCCACTCGGCTATAGGCAAGGGCTGTAACAAACCCGCTGGCCTCTGATACTCAGCCTTCACTTGTTGACAAGTATGGCACTTGGACACAAATGCTGCCACATCTTTCTTCATAGCCCTCCACCAAAACTGGCGACTCAGATCATGATACATCTTAGTGCCTCCCGGATGCACCACAAGGCATGAATGGTGAAACTCTCGGAGCACTTCCTCTCGACAAGACTCTGGTACAAACAAGCGGCCTCGGTACCTCACACTCAGGTCAGGATATACAATCAAACCCTTCTCTACCTTCCCATTGGATATATTTTCCCAGAGGGATTCTACCGCAAGGTCATCCTTCTGTGCCTCTAACACTTGATTCACAAGTGTAGGTTGTGAAACCATAGAAAACAAGGTCGCGCAACCATAGAAAACAAGGTCGCAGACACAACAGACTCACCCAGATGCAAGTCAAACTCGCCAAGAGCACCCAACATCTCCCATTCCCGGATAGCAATACAAGCTGCATCACTAATGGACTTCGTACTTAGGGCATCGGCCACAACATTGGCCTTCCCTGAATGATAATGCAACTCGAAGTCATAATCTTCTATGAACTCCATCCACTGTCTCTGCCTCAAATTCAAGTCTTTCTATGTAAACAGATACTTCAGACTCTTATGATCTGAGAACACTTCGAATCCCTCACCGTAAAGGTAGTGCCTCCAAATCTTCAAGGTAAAAATCACAGCTGCTAACTCTAGGTCATGAGTAGGGTAGTTTCTCTCGTGTGTTTTCAACTGACGTGAATCATAGGCTACTACTTCCCCCTCTTGCATCAATACACAACCCAAACACTCTCGTGAGGCATCACAATACACTGCATAACCCAAACCTCTCTCCGGAATAATCAAGACTGGAGCGGTGGTAAGTCTAACTTTAAGCTCTTGGAACGACTTTTCACAACTCTCACTTCACACAAACTTAACCCCTTTCTGCGTCAATCTAGTCAAAGGCAAAGCTAGCCTGGAGAAGTCTTTTACAAATCGACGGTAATAACCTGCCAATCCCAGAAAACTGCAGATCTCAAAGACACTCTTAGGCTGTGCCCAATCTTGCACTGCCTTTATCTTGGATAAATCAACAGACACTCCTTCCCCGGACACCACATGGCCTAAGAACTTAACCTCTTTTAGTTAGAACTCACACTTCCCAAACTTAGCGTACAGCTTATAGGCTCTAAGCAATTCAAGCACCACTCGCAAGTGTTCCTCATGCTCCTCCTCAGAAGGTGAATAGATCAGAATGTCGTCCACAAAAATGACTACAAAGCAATCTAAGAACTCCTAGAAGATCCGGTTCATCAAGTCCATAAACACAGCCCGTGTATTGGTGAGCCCAAAAGGCATCACCAGAAACTCGTAATGGCCATACCGCGTACGGAAACCCGTCTTTAAGATATCTTCCTCCCTGACCCTCAACTGATGGTAACCCGATCTTAAATCTATCTTTAAGAAATAGCGGGATCCTTTCAACTGGTCAAACAGATCATCCATACGAGGCATAGGGTATTTATTCTTAATCGTAGCTCGATTCAGTTTTCAGTAATCGATGCAAAGTCTCAAAGCCCCATCTTTCTTTTTAGCAAAGAGGGCCAGTGCTGCCCACAGCGAAGTACTAGGGTGAATAAAGCCCTTATCTAGCAACTCCTGGAGTTGAATCTTCAACTCACTCAACTCGGCTGGGGCAAAACGATACGGTGCCATGGAAATCGGTGTCGTGCCAGACACTAAGTCAATAGAGAACTCAATCTCCCGATGGGGTGGTAAACTAACGAGATCCTCGGAAAAAATGTCCGAGTACTCACAAACCACTCTTGGCAACTCAGTCCCGGTCTCATTACACTCACTACTCATAAGGCTGGCAAAAAGACAACTAAGCTCACTCCGCCCTCGCGAATCATACACCGGTGGTAAAACCCTACCAACCCAATCTCCCAAGAAATGGAAACAATCTCCATTCAAGGTACATACAGTAACCCTCTAACGGTAGCAATCTATAACAGCTCGGTATGACGATAACCAGTCCATATCCAAAATCACATCAAACCCAGACATATCCATCAAAACAAAAGAGAAGGGAAGCCGACGATCGGCGACCTCTATATCACAGCCCCGACACCCCTGTTTCAAAACCAACTCACCCCCAACAGGTGATACTACACAAATAGGAGAAGCTAACTGTGCCAACTCCAGTCCCAAAATAGATGCAAAAGCAGAAGGTATAAAAGAGCGGGATGCACCCGTAACAATCAACACATTACCAATCGAGTTGCAAAACAAAATGGTGCCTCTCACAACAGACGGAGTCGGTACAAGATCCTGCACTATAACGGCATACACGCGCCCTGTAGGTCTCTGATCTACCTGCTCACCTCTCGGAGCATAAGATTGCTACACAGACTGAGCCGAAGAGGCTCCCTGATTGGCCCTCGAGGCCTGAACTGACTGCGCTGGCTGGTGACTCTGTGTCTGCCTCGAACCAGACGCACTAGGTGTGCCACCTAACTGTGGGCAAAACCTCTTTAGGTGCCCCGCCTGCCCACACTGATAACAAATGAGCGGCTGGCCTCTGCCCTGACTCTGGCCCTGAGAACTGGCTGAAGATGATGCTGTTCACTGCCCCCCTCCTCTTTGCTGGCAAGTTGGAGACTTGTGGCCCAGCTGACCACATTTAAAACAGGTAATGTCTCCCTGACCACCTCTCCCTGAACCTGAACTTGGCACTAGAAAGGTAAACCTCGAATGTGCTCCCTGGGACTGCTGAGGGTTAGAACCCCTCTACCTCTTATTGTCCCCCTGGTCATCCTGACTCCTCCTAAAACCCCTCATCCTTTCTTCCTCAGCATGCATAATGGTCTCAAAATGGGCTGTAGCCACTACAAGGAGCCCATACTCCTTAATCATGGACCCGGCCACTCGAAACATGAGTCCAGTCCTCAACTTCTTCTCGAACTCCAAGCATCTACGCTCCTCAGTCGCCACCAACTCTGGTGCAAACCTTGACATATTGGTGAATGTAGCCTCAAACTCGGCCACTGGTGTATTCACTACTTGTGCTGACAGAACTGGTCTTTCAACTTCTCCCTAACAGTGGGAGGCAAGAACTTTTCCTGAAAGGCATCAACAAAAGCCTCCCAAGTCCCTTGAATACGCCCTCAAACAAACTTCCACCACTGACCCACGTCTCTCTTCAGCTGGAAGGACGCCAAGGTCACTCGCAAACCTCCGTCTTTGATGCCAAGCATCTCAAACGTCTTCGCCATCTGCTCTAGCCATTCATCAGCCTTCAGTGGCTCTTTAGGATCCCCCAAAAACTCGTCCGGATTTGACCGGAAAAACTCCCTCTTCATAAAAGACAGCCCTGCCTCGGCTACATGGGCCTGGACTTGATTCTCAGCCTTGAGAATGTCCATGGATTCCCTCAATGCTCCTACCATCTCGCGGGCTAAGGCGCCCATGGCCGACTAACCTATTGTTTCGGCCACGTTGGCCTGACCAATTCCCTCATTCTGTGCTGGAATTTCATCTAGT